GAGAGAGAGAGAGAGAGAGAGAGAGAGAGAGAGAGCGAAGGCATACTAAAACTTGAGATTAAAGATTGGTATCACATTAGTGATTTCCACTTTCCTACGTGGCAAACATTATATCTTTATACAAAGATTTTTCCTTACTTAACAGCTGTGTGCGCTTTTGTGAAACATACTGCAGGTGAAAAAGTTAGAAGTACAAAGTAATGCTTATGTTAAGGATCAAATCGAAATATGCTTTTAAAGTCAATGCGACAAATCACATAACACTTACAAAGAAACGTCACAATTTTACTGCTTTCTATTTCTTCTTCATCTTTAAAAAATATATTTCGTCTTTGCATCAAACAGTGTAAAACCGAGTTATCTGAACAAAAACTAGTTAATATCGTACCATGTCATCTACCTTTTGTATTATCACTGTTCACCAAAAACCAAATAGAATCTAGTATGACATCTTTTTCACATGTTCAGATTTTCGAAAATTATTGAATCAATTTTTTTTTCTTTTCATCCGGTTTACATAAGTGGGCAAAATATCTTCATCCATGAACTGTGTACATTACATGCCTTAGGCTCTATAATTTGGCACAAGCTGTTAGTTACAGCATGACTTATGCTCACTCTTCCACAGCATTGAACATGACATCATCGACAACGGTTGCCTTTCCAGGGGAAGGGTCAAACGTAACGTCCGCCTCAAGCAAAGTGCGGAATGGAATCATAGGCCAGGAATTCAGTGAATGGTTCAGGGTCATCGTGGATGTCTGGATCAGCTCTATTCTCTCCGCGCTTGGAGTGACCACCAACGCCCTGGTCATCGCTGTGTTTACTAAACAAGGCTTCAAAGAAAACATCGCCATCTCGATGACTGCCATTGCCGTTTGGGATTTTCTAAAGTGCCTATGTGGCCTCTTAGGCCGGCTGTACTGGACCATGAGCCTGGCTGACACAGTCTTCGGAAAGATGTGGCTGGAATTGTCTGCTATTCTACTCAGCTACTTACACAGTTTTATGGGGTTCGTGTCTTGCGCTCTGGCAGCTTATGTCTCCACAGAGCGATGCTTGTGTGTCAGCATGCCCTTCAAGGTTAAAGACATATTCACTAGAAGGTTGACCATTACCATGATGATGATCATATCTACAGTTGTCTTCGGTTCTTTCATGGTGGTATTCCCTCTCTGGGAAATTACAGTAATCTTCGACCCCGGTCGAAACGCAAGTATAACCACCTTGGCTTTCAGCGATTTCCACAGCCGTTTTGGTGTACCCGTATTGTTGTACTACAACATAATAAGCATTTTCTGGCCGTTATCAAGCTTTGTTTTTATAGTCGTCAATGCTGCTATAATTGTACACCACTTGCAGAAATCTTCCGACTTCCGTGGGAACAATGTGAAGGAACAAGAGAATCAGATGTCCTCTAGGGATTTGCAAGTTGTCAAAATGCTCATGGTCATCATCGCCGTTTACATCGTGAATCCGTTCCCGCGAATTGTCCAGTATTTTGCGAGATTCTTTGAACCTGAGTTGTATATTCGCATGAGGTATCAGAACATGTTCATAGTTATGATTCATGTCGTCTTTGTTTTTGACTTTCTCAATGCGTCTACCAACCTCTTTATTTTTATAGCCATGAGTTCGAAATTCAAAGCTACCTTTGTAAAGATGGTGGGTCACTGGTGGATAGCAAGAGAGAAGAAAGAAAAACTTTAATTCTGAGACTGAGAATGTTCCTACAGATGATTGAGAATGTTCACACAGATGATTGAGAATGTTGACACAGATGATTGAGAATGTTCCTACAGATGATTGAGAATGTTCCTACAGATGATTGAGAATGTTGACATAGATGATTGAGAATGTTGACATAGATGATTGAGAATGTTCATACAGATGATTGAGAATGTTCACACAGATGATTGAATTCTCTGCAGGAATAACATTTGTGAGGCAGCGTGGTGGAATCAGGCTCTCGTCAATTCTTGGGCATGTAGAGATATTGGTATCATCTTAAAGCTTGTTTACTTGTCTTTAAATGGATGAAAAAAGTATCCATTTATCTTGAATACAAGTCGAGATATTTGCAAAAGAAGGAGGTGGGGTTCACCTTTTTTCAGAGGTAAAATTAGTAAGAAAATGGCCGCCAAAGATTAGTTATTTCCCTAGCTAAAGAGTCCGTGGTAACTAAACATTTACATTTTTTGTGCCTTAAACACGGTTTTTCAGAAAAATCCTCACACAAATGAGTTCTTTAATGGGTATGAAAGGTGTTGAGCTAAAAAACAAAAATTTGATAAACATTCACAAACCAGCAGAAAAATGCAAGTTTCTTTACTTTGATTATTTTGACGAGAGCCTGATTCCACCACACTGCCTCACATTTCTGTTTTCCTCGACATTTGACTTTGGGGCAATGTGTTTCTTCTACTGTGAAATGATTGTTGACAGAAGTGATATGGCTTTGAAGAGTACATTCACAGAAGGTGATAGTGTGTATTTAAAAAAATGAAAAGCACGAAATTAAGTACAAAAGTGTTTCTGTTGAGCCATTTTCTGTTGCTGGATGAAGACGTGCGTACGATTCGTGGGTTTGGGAAGTCTAATGAATTGAGTGAATTTTTCTTTTTTTTCCACTGAGATTCTGTGTCCTATTCAGCTTGAGTGTGCTCCGACATGTAAGGTTTAGCACAACTAATTTCTTAACGTTGTATGACTGTCGATTAAGGCGTAAAAAAAATGTATACTTAAGATGGGCATCAAATTGAATGACTGACTTACACCTCAGTACCCATAGTTGCAGATTCGAAATGGCTTTTCGAGTCAAAGAGGATAATAGGCTTCTACAAAGTGAAATATTTCACTAAAGAATCATTTATATTACGAAATTTGAAGATACGGCGTTGTCAGAACATTCTTAAGAAAGATTGGGAGGCGCTCCGACTCATGTAGATTGTATACACATATTTCACTCCCAATTTTGTCAAGCTTGTAACACTATACATTGTAACGGTCGGGTTGTATAAGTGGCTTGGCACAACAAAAGAAGTGTGTTGCCGGGGTGGCAAACTGCTGTGATAACAGTTGACCGACAGAGCTATGCAGAACCGTAAACGTGACAACGTGACAAATCTACATTCTATATTATGGTCGCTTTTAAGGACAAGCGGGCTCTATAACCCAGATTTCGGGGATTTCCAGAAATCCTGACCTACAGTACACCAAAAGTGGGCATTGCCCTATCTATAGAAGAAGTTTGGTTTCATTGGTGTGTATATTTCTTGGTTCTTAAGAAAACTCTCCTTGTCTTTTAAAGAAACTGAACAAGGGGCAAAAACTTTACCTTTTGATTTTCTGGAAACAGAAGTTTTCGTGATAGCCCCCTTGTGCTTAAAAGCGACCATATTTTATTCTCAGTTCACGGCGCATTGTAAGAAATCTTTTCTTATAAAGAGGGTGGTGTCCAGGTGAACTCTATCCTTTTAAAAAGATGGTTTACAGACCAGTACAGAAGTATTTAATGTAGAAAGACTCCAAGATAAGGTGCCAAATGATGAGGTGTTGTTCATAGCATATATCCTTTGTTGCCAGGGTGGTAATGGCGGTCATCTTGAAAATAAATCTTTACATTCCTGAAATCTCAAACACCAAATAGGGTATCATTTTACTTTGTAGGATGGAAATAGAAAGGCATGGCTTACACTGAGGAAACAGAGTCGCCATTATTTGATGTCAGCGTGTTCATAGATGTAGCTTGACTTTTCACTTGTTGTTGTCTGACCATCAATGATTTATTTATAGAGGCACCAACCATCCATGTCCAGGTGCTGCTTTAGCCTCTTTTTGTTGTATAAAGTGTTAAAAATACACCTGTCCCCCAACCTGGTATAATTGGTATACTTATTCACTTATCATATACGAAAAAGACTAAACTGACTATCCTGCTTTCCCAAAACATGGATAAGCAATCATTGTATCAAATTGCAAGTCCCCAGACCGATGGTTGTAAGCACTTGAGATTCTTGGAGTTTTGCGAGGTCCATAAAAACACAATTCAGAGAAAATTGCCGTCAAAAACGAACACAATCTATCATTGTGACAGCGATTGCTGTCCATGACAAAATACAATTTACAACCAAATAGCTGTAGACGTCGAAAAAACATACACTGCATCTGATGTCTAGACACGTTCAGGTATTGAACAAACAAAAAAAAAAAAAAAAAAAAAAATTAAAATGAAAGAAAGAAAGAAAGAAAACAAAGACAAAATCTTTTTTTTTCAAAACCAAAAAACAGGAACGTTTAGCGCTTAAAAATCGATATTTTAACTCAATTTTCAGCCAAAGTCCCACCAGACACACCCATTGTCCCAAAACATACTTTTGTTGCTACAAAATCATAGCATGTTTTCATAATGAAAAAAATAACCCACAATCGGGAACATAGAATCATAAAGAAATGAAAGTCTCGTGTTTCTGAAATCATCCGACATTATTATAGCTACGAAAACCAGTGAGTGCAAGAGTGCAACTTACAAATAGTCTTTTTGTAGCCTCGTTTGCTTTATGCCTCTATTCCTCTGTTAAGAAGCTCAGTCAATACCTTGAACCAGGACATAGATGTCCAAAAATGATAGTCGGCCCAGAGATCAACACCTTGACTCCGTTCGTCTTGTATTCCAAATGAATGCTACACGTACTAAGTAAGAAGGGTAACTCGTGTGTTCAATTTTTGTGATGCCTTCAGTTGAAAAGAGAGCACAACGTGTTATTGCTTTAAATGGGTAAAGCGTTGTTGGTGTCGTTTGATCTTTTGGAAATATACGACAATGTATTTGAGGCAGCGTGGTGGAATCAGGCTCTCGTCAATTTCGGGGCATGTAGAGTTATTGGTATGATCTTAAAGCTTGTTGACTTGTCTTTATTTGGGTGAAAAAAATGTCCAATTATCTTGAAGACAAGTCGAGATATTTACTAAAAAAAGGAGGTGCGTGTCACCTGTTTTCAGAGGTAAAATTAGAGAGAAAATAGCCGCCAAAGATTAGTTATTTCCTTAGCTTAAGAGTCCGTGGTAACAGACAATTTAGATTTGTTGTGTTAAGCAACGTTTTAAAGAAATGTCCATACTGACATGTGTTCTTTATTGGGCAGGAAAGATGGTGAGCCAAAAACAAAAATTTGAAAAAAATAATAATATAGATACAGAATTGAAATGTTTTTTATATGTACCGTTGGACTTGATCCGGGGGTATTTATAGAACTAAGAGCCATTAAGTTTTTCTCACATTCGAATGCGAATCTCAAGGTTCTACGTGATGGCTGTCATCTTAAATGATTAACAACGTTCTGTCTAACTGTATCATGGTACAAAGTATACCGTTGTTCTTCCTTGAGATAAGAAAAATTGTTCTAGTTTCAACTGTCAACCGGTTTCTCCAAGGACCCTCTAGAGTAGTCGCTTTTTGTTTGTAGAACCAGATACGTACGGATAAAATACAAAGGAAGCAAAAAGATAGAACCCTTCTTCATTTCATTCGGTTTTAAAGTGAGTCATTAACACGTTTAGGAGTATAATATTGTGCAGTAATGCCTCCCTCAGAGCAGCAGCAATAAATGATGCGAACTCAAACTCATACATTTTAGTGCAGTTTATTTCTTCAAATTACGTCTTTTCCACGTGGTGGTGGCTGTTTGGGTGGGGGGGGGGGGGGGGGGGGGGGGGTAAGAGTATAGTAAAGAATACCGGTTCTACTTGAAATAAAACACCAGTCTCATTTATTTTACTTATTATCTGTTTTATTTTCGGAACTCTGACCAGACAGGCCGCAAACCAAAGGAGGCGCCTTCTGTCAAGATAACAAGTGTTTTGGCAGATGCCCTCAGTTTTGTACAGAAGCACGTCTTGCTTATTAAAGAGTACACTTCTCTTTTCCTTTTGAAACTCTTTTTTTCACATGTCGCTACGTTGTCCTGATGAATTAAATTATGTCTTGTGTTTCAATTAAAGCAATTTCTAGTTCGTCTTTAAAGTTGCTGTCACGTTTATTCTGTACGTTTTGTATTGGATAATTAGTTTTTCTTTTGTATTTAAATGACCTGCCTGTACAATAAAAGTGATACGACATTCTCGTTTGAGTTCTGTATGAAGTTGAACAAAGAAGACGACCTATTTGGAAGTTTTAAGAAATACCTTTCTTCACCACTTTGGCTGCTAGGTCTACGAAAAATAAAAGTACAAGTCTGATGTAACGTAATAATAAACGTAATAACTGTATTTGTTATGTTATGAATATCTACTTCCACAACAGCACCATTTGTGAGGCAGCGTGGTGGAATCAGGCTCTCGTCAAAATAATCAAAGTGAAGAAACTGTTTTTTTCCGCAGGTTTGAGCATTTTAATCAAATTTTTGTTTTGGGGCTCAACACCTTTCATGCCCTTTAAAGAACTCATTTCTGTGTGGATTTTTCTGAAAAACGTTGATTAAAGACACCAAAAATGTAAATTTTCAGTTACCACTGACTTTTAAGCTAAGGAAATAACTCATCTTTGGCGGCCATTTTCTCACTAATTTTACCTCTGAAAACATGTGACCCCCACCTCCTTCTTTCGCAAATATCTCGACTTGTATTCAAGATAAATGGATATCTTTTTCACCCAAATAAAGACAAATGAACAAGCTTTAAGAGGATACCAATAACTCTACATGCCCAAAAAT